GAGCACAGGACGCCATCCATCCACACTCGCTGCTTCTGTCATGAAGGCTCGACGCACGGTATTGCAGGCCTACCTGAACCGTCACCACTGCACCCTATATCATTAGCTATGGTTTATTTAACTAGGCTCTTAAGGCCTCGGGTTATATAGTGTATAATGATACGATTAGAGAATATGTGGTCTAGTGGTCAGAGTTCCTGGCTAGAGATCCAGAGGTACGGGTTCGATTCCCGGCACTACCACACTTTCTGAAAAGTAGTGGGTCTGGAGCGGGGTCCACTCAGCCTCGTGAGGATAATTGAGGTGCCATTTCAAGGAAATTGCTTCTCCGGACTAGAAGACCGAGATTAACGGCCGTGGGGAACCTTTGCGCTGACCACGCGACACCTTATATCCGCTAAAGTTGGCACTTACTTCGCTGACAAGCAGCGGTCGCTTGGTCGGTATAGTTCCCCTGCGGACTACAGGCCCCAGATTTTTTTTTGTGAATATTAAAAGAAGCATAAAGACAAATTCCGAATGTGTAGCGTGAGATTGCTAGTGGGGTGGGACTAAGTTCCTTGTACTGCGGCCACTTCTGGCCTATTGTACCAGCCCCAGAGGATAGGTGAGGGTGATTTTGGAGCAATTGGTTGAAGGAAGATTGGCATGGGAAACCGTAGTACTCGGAGAAAACCTGCCCAGCACCACTTTGTCCACCACAAATCCCACTTGACCAGACCCGGGATCGAACCCGGGCCCCGCGGCGGGAAACCAGCGACTAACCGCTTGAGGTATGACGCGGCCCTAGCGTGAGACCGACTACTCGCTGTCACGTGGCGCCGAGATAAAGAATGTGTACAGTTTCACATTCGCTGAACCATGTTCTTGGGGAACAACCCGTTGCTATGTAATGCCTACAACAATACCAGACAAGAGTAGACAATTGCTAGGCAATGGACGTGTTTTACGTGAGGTCAGACCCGAGGCTCTATAATAGTGAGTGATTCTGGGAGGATACCCGGCTACTGTGGTAGCGAATACTAGTAGAAATAGGGCATAATCTGCTGTACCGAGACTAGATTGACAGAGGCCTTGTATATATTGTACATAGGAATAGGAATTAAGTTTAGATGGTAAATATATGTAAATACTGACAATAGACTTACTAACACAGACTATGACTGAAAAATGACAGACCCGACCTCTCGTCAGAGAGGGCGCCCCAAATGAACAGGACAGTAACTTTCATATAAAGAAAAAAAAATCTGGTCATGAGCCCCGGTCGGGGCTCGACACCAAGACAGACAGACTGACTGACCGTCAGTCGCAATGTGACTTTGACTTTGGAGCATACCCGTGTGGATGCGGGGTCGATTACCTCCATCGTGACCTTGCGAGTCGGAGGAGACGAAAAGGGAAGTCACAAACTTCAAACTGTAAAATATGGTAGCGAGTTCCAAGAAATTCGGACCCGAGAAAGACTGCCCTGGCGAGGGCCAGCAGCATATACAAAAGGCAAACTCGTCCTTTCGTTAGAGGGGGCACCCCACAAAAGGAAGACCGTAACTGTCAAACAGTAATAAATATCTGGTCCTGAGCCCCACATGGGGCTCGACGCCAAGACTTACTGATTGACTGATCATCAGTCGCAATGTGACTTTAACTTTGACTCCAGGAGCAGTGAATTAATGTAGTGTTGTCAGAAGTTGAGAGTGTGTCCAGTCGAAGGCAATGATTTATGAGCTGTTATAATAAGTTGTATAAAGGTCCAATAAATAAGATCATCAGAAGCAAACCCCGTTTTATATGTCACGCAAACCCCCTAATTTGCGACAATAAATTGTGATCAGTTACACAACATTGAATCCGTTTCTCCAGTAATTTAATGTCCCAAGGTTTAGACGTCTGGGAACGGTAGTAACCAATTTAAATTGCATGCAGACAGAAATCAGAAATAATCCATAATCTCCTGTCTTCACGTTTCATGTCTAAAAACCTAAACATTAAATTATACTATAATTATCGATGTTAAACTTCTAGAAACATTCTTCTTAAAACACGAAGACAGACTGAGGATGTTTGAAAACAAATTGGCTTGAAAATTTGCATAACGTGGAGTTCATAATTTGTTTCTTTCTCCAAAATATATGACAATGATAAAATTATGGAGGATGAAGCATGCGAAACATATCGCACGCATAGGAGGATTGAGAAATGCATATAACATTCTGGACCGAAATGGCGAGACTCGGGCATAGATTGGAGGAATTTATTAAGATGCATTTAAAAAAACATGTTGTACGAATAAGGACTGCAGTTATCTCACTCAAGACAGCGCCCAGTTATAAGCCCTTATGAACACAGTAATGAACACTGCGATGCCGTGAAATTAACGGAATTTTGTGACCAGCTGAGTGACCATTAACTGCTGAAGTAATACTCAGCTTCTTTGAGTTGCACAGTAAAACTACGTCACAGCCAATGAAGTATTCGATGTATCAAAGACGTCTGGAAAGAGTGTACAATCAATGCAAATGGAACTACACACTTTCACTCTTGTAATATGTTTTTCCTACTTAACTCTTCCATCGTTTATCTAGTACCATTATGCTTACAGAATAAAGCGTTGTGTGTATATAATTTTCAATTTTCCGAAGCATAATATCCAAGCAAAATAAACATCGTTGTTCAACGAACATACTTACTTACTTACTTATGGACCCGAGCCCTTCTTGAGGAGAAGCCAAATCTGCAGCTACTCAAGAATTTCCTAGCATATTATAGAACCCGAAGGTTTATTAGCGTGTTCACAAGAGCCCTCCACTCGTCCCTATCCTGAGCCAAATCAATCTAATCCATACAACCCCATCCTATCTCTCTAAGATCCATTTTAATATTTTCCACCCACATACGCCTTGGTCTTCCCAGTGGTCTCTATCCTTCTGGCTTCCCCACTAATATCCTACATGCATTCTTATTCTCCACCATTCGTGCTACATGCCCTGCCCACCTCATCATCCTTGACTTGATCATTCTAATTATACTTGGAGAAGAGTACAAGTTAAGAAAGCTCATTATATTCAACGAATATAATAATAATAAATGAAGAATTCGACCAATGAAGTTGTCTGTTACATAACTTTCCCCAGCACGCTGTTACTCCTTTCCTTTTCGTCTAAGAAGCATGATTACAGTAAGAGAAAATCTTAACCTAGGACGAGATTTAAATTCGAGTTCAGAAGGTACGTTTTCCTCTGCTTTCAATATAAAGCCTACTCCTGGCGGAGAATTAATGTACTGTCCTCCTGAAAGTTTTACAAACCATTTCTTATCCTCCGTTTCGCAGTATATGCAGATAAATTCACCGCTCAACGGCCTTAAAAATCTAATTTCCGCTGTTCGTGTACTGTATTTAGATTCATGATCTCTGTAATCCGGGCTTCATTTCCACGTGGAAGCACGGGGAAAGTTTTATCTTAACAAAATTTCACTTTCATTTCCTTCCTCGTAATTCATAAACAGTTCATCACACTCGATGAAATCACCTTACATTCACTCATCTACGAATCCAACAAACCATCAGTCCATTCAATCCATACACTGACTCAATAATCCCATCATGCAACCAACCAACCATTCATATATTCAACAATCTAACTACCCCTGCAGCCAGTCATTCATCCACTCGCCTGCACATCAATCCAATTATGTAGTCATCTAAGAGCATGTGTAGACAGTCACTCGTCCAAGTATCCAACCGCATATCCACCCATCCACACTCCCAGCCAACCAATCTCGCCATACATTCATCCATCCTGCAAAATATATTGCTCACAGAAGCGAAAAAGCTGGAACCAGCCACCAAGTAACCTGAACCCGCATTGGAATAGTTCAGCACGATCCGTAACACCACACAATTCGTTAGCAATATTATCACAAGGAGCCACACGCTTATTCTTGTGTGCTGCTTCAGTTGATGATGGATGGATGGGTCGGGTCGAGCAACGGCTTCACTTGTAACCCTCTCGACCGCCCTCAGTCAAGACTTATCTGCCGACAGAAATATTTCTCCGGCAGATATTTTCTGAGTTCCTTCATACTCTAGGGACATTTATATATCAAATTTGGAAAACAGAAAGAGTTTCGTACTGGGCCAGGAGAGACAACGTCAGATGTAAACGCGTTCTCGTAGGTATAAATACAGATACATAAAGTTGCAAGTGGGCAAGATATTATTAGTCTGAAGTTTAGTGAAATGAAATCGGAAGATGGGAATCACTCAACTTTCATGAAACTTGATGATTCATTGGCTCAGTCACAATCACTGGACCTCATCTTCAGCAAGATGAAAGATTTTAATATTATCCTCCCATCTAATCATAGGCACAGAAGTGATCTCTTATCCCATGAATTGAAAAAAAAGTATATCATTCTTACTAAATACCTACTCACAAGTGTAATATTCAGATGCTACATACCAAAACTACACCGTTTTCTATCACACAAAATATGCACTCATAAAACCCACTTCACTCTCAATCCATATAACCACTAAAACACATTTTGTGCAAATCATTGTACTTACTTCACAAGACATTATTAATAACAGTGCCAGAATAACCTCAAAGACACATTCTTTTTCACTACACACCCACTTGTCTTCTATGCACTTACTTCCGTTAACTCAATAAATGTACGTTATGGTGTATTTTTCCTTCACACGTACTTCAGTTTCATGGTTCAGAGGGAACACACTTCGATTTCGTTGTCCAACAGAGGAAACACACGTTTCTAAAATTTATTCCACTCGCCATTACGCGTTCCAGGATGATACACACATTAAAGCCTACCACTAGCATTATCTCAATGAATCCTTTAAAATATACTTTCAGGCAGATAATTAATCACAACTTCTGCATATACGTATATAAACATTCAAACATAAAACCGTCTTATTATTTTTAAACACCTCATCGTACCAGGAAAGAAACGTACCTTGATTCTGTAGACCGGATATTTAGGTCACAGTGACAGGGCAGCCAACTTCTTAACATGACTGAAACACAAACATTCCAATATGTCCGATCACAGGACGGGAATTCTTCACCCTATTTTTACCCATCTTCGTGTATAATATTCTACTTCCTATCAAGGAAGGGAAATTCGGGCGAAACAAATGCCAAGTAGTCACTGGATTGGTCGCGTATCCATCCGCGAGAAACAAGAGAACGATTTCACTGAAAATAAAGATTTTTCGTCATAACGTTATGCCACTGGAGGGCAGCATAATGCCATAATTTGTGATATTCAGTAATCATTTGTTCCGCCGTGGGGGATGCGCAAACTCCTGAGGTGGGGCGGAGTTTTCGACACAATCTAAACTATCACGTAGCAATATATTCTCGGAATATAAGAGCATAGATTCACAATATGGGTGGAAAAACAGGAAACACGCTCAATTTTATACATAACGTCATATTTCGATTAATATTGCATGTTACGGCACCCCTATATTACGTTCCGTTAAATACCAGCTTCGTAAATGACGTCACTCTTAGGTGTGCGCAATGATCTACTGCGCATCCACCTCTATCTTACGGGTAACATTCGCTGATGTTGGGTTGGTTAGGTTAGGTTAGGTTAGGTTAGGTTAGGTCAGATTAGGTTTGCGCAGTAGACTACTGCGCATCCAACTGTAACACAGGGGTACCATTCGCTGATGTTAGATTAGGTTGGGTTGGGTTACGTTAGGTTAGATTAGGTTTGCGCAGTAGACCACTGTGCATCCGTCTGTACCTTGGAGGGGTCGAAGCTCGGTATTTACGCTAATGTTAGGTTGTGAGTGTACATTATGACAGGTGTGCGCAAATGACTACAGCGAATCGTTATGCTCAATTGAGCACTGTTTGGCCGTCGGCAATATTTTACGATTGAAGGTCTGACAGCGTATGAAATCATTACATATTTATAAGGCACATTTTATTTCCAAATTTTCTCACATGATAAACTCTAGCATATATTTTCCTGTTAAACTCTCTGCGTAATCTATAAAACCTGCAATATATTACGATATTTATTATGGTCGCAAATGCATTTTTTCCGAAATATTGACATTTCAGAACGCACTCAAGTGCATGATATCACAATTATCTTCATTTACTCTTAAAATTTTCCACAGTTCCCGAAATATTCGCTTTCCGAATGTTCCCATTATTAACATTATCATGTTTTCCGACATACGTGAAGGATATGCATATCCTTTATATGAAAGGTATCCACCCCACGATACTACTGCTCAAATATTAGATAACCAAATCACCAATTACGATCTGAACCTAAGGAAATATCATTCAACATTCAACTGAGCATTAAAACAAAAAACGAACACATCACTATATGTTTTGACTAAACTATAAAATACAATCACAATAATGTCAGCTGTAACAACTCTTGCTTTCCTGTAAACAGTGTTATTCTCTAACAACTTTAATAGATGGAAAGAAATTAATTCCCTGATGCTTTATACTACCTGCTAGCACATGCAAGCCTGGAACATTAGATGGCGAGAATGCAATCCGCTGTCTATCACACCGAAATACACTTCTAACCTACGATCACTTGCCATCATTCTTCGTACTATAACACATACTCTACACACCACCGTGCACATTTTACACTGTCACTGAACAGGATTGCCAGCATAACACAAATGACAACATGTCATTCACTTAGCATACCACCTTGTTATAAGCAACAATTCTTCACCAAACAAAATATGTACATAAAAGGGAAAACTATCGAATCCACTGTGGGTGTATGGAAATCTTAACATTCTTGAAAACACTACAGACCTCACTACACATCACTGTATATATTACACACAAAAATATAACGTCACACTGCAGAATTTATACTTCACATTATACTCCACATTATTGTGACCAAACAACACACATTATACCCACCACTCAGCACACACAACCAAGTTATAAATTCAAAAAATAACTTCTTCAATGGGAACTATAAATTCACTTTGCACCCTCTTCTTACAATGCAAAAAAGCATATCATTCTTACTACTTACCTACACACACATGTAATATTCACAACCTACATACCAAAACCACACACATTAAATCTAAATCACTCTCAATGCATATAACCACTAAAACACATTTTGTGCAAATCACTGTACATACTTCACATGACATTATTAATAACAGTGCAAGAATAACCTCAGAGACACATTCTTTTTCACTACACACCCACTTGTCTTCTATGCACTTACTTCCGTTAACTCAATAAATGTACGTTATGGTGTATTTTTCCTTCACACGTACTTCAGTTTCATGGTTCAGAGGGAACACACTTCGATTTCTTTGTCCAACAGAGGAAACACACGTTTCTACAATTTCTTCCACTCGCCATTATGCGTTCCAGGATGATACACACATTAAAGCCTACCATTAGCACTATCACACTGAATCCTTTAAAATATAATTTCAGGTAGATAATTAATCACAACTTCTACATATATGTATATAAACATACACACATAAAACCGTCTTATTATTTATAAACACCTCTTCGTACCAGGAAAGAAACGTACCTTGATTCTGTAGACCGGATATTTAGGTAACAGTGACAGGGCAGCCAACCTCTTAACATGACTGAAACAGAAACATTCCAATATCAGTCCGATCACAGGACGGGAATTTTTCACCCTATTTTTACCCATCTTCGTGCATAGTATTCTACTTCCTATCCAGGAAGGGAAATTCAGGCGAAACAAATGACGAGCAGTCACTGAATTGGTCGCGTATCCATCCGCGAGAAACAAGAGAACGATTTCACTGAAAATAAAGATCTTTCGTCATAAGGTTATGCCATTGGAGGGCAGCATAATGCCATAATTTGTGATATTCAGTAATCATTTGTTCCGCCGTGGGGGATGCGCAAACTCCTGAGGTGGGGCGGCGTTTTCGACACAATCTAAACTATCACGAAGCAATATATTCTCGGAATATAAGAGCATAGATTCACAATATGGGTGGAAAAACAGGAAACACGCTCAATTTTATACATAACGTCATATTTCGATTAATATTGCATGTTACGGCACCCCTATATTACGTTCCGTTAAATACCAGCTTCGTAAATGACGTCACTCTTAGGTGTGCGCAATGATCTACTGCGCATCCACCTCTATCTTACGGGTAACATTCGCTGATGTTGGGTTGGTTAGGTTAGGTTAGGTTAGGTTAGGTCAGATTAGGTTTGCGCAGTAGACTACTGCGCATCCAACTGTAACACAGGGGTACCATTCGCTGATGTTAGGTTAGGTTGGGTTGGGTTACGTTAGGTTAGATTAGGTTTGCGCAGTAGACCACTGTGCATCCGTCTGTACCTTGGAGGGGTCGAAGCTCGGTATTTACGCTAATGTTAGGTTGTGAGTGTACATTATGACAGGTGTGCGCAAATGACTACAGCGAATCGTTATGCTCAATTGAGCACTGTTTGGCCGTCGGCAATATTTTACGATTGAAGGTCTGACAGCGTATGAAATCATTACATATTTATAAGGCACATTTTATTTCCAAATTTTCTCACATGATAAACTCTAGCATATATTTTCCTGTTAAACTCTCTGCGTAATCTATAAAACCTGCAATATATTACGATATTTATTATGGTCGCAAATGCATTTTTTCCGAAATATTGACATTTCAGAACGCACTCAAGTGCATGATATCACAATTATCTTCATTTACTCTTAAAATTTTCCACAGTTCCCGAAATATTCGCTTTCCGAATGTTCCCATTATTAACATTATCATGTTTTCCGACATACGTGAAGGATATGCATATCCTTTATATGAAAGGTATCCACCCCACGATACTACTGCTCAAATATTAGATAACCAAATCACCAATTACGATCTGAACCTAAGGAAATATCATTCAACATTCAACTGAGCATTAAAACAAAAAACGAACACATCACTATATGTTTTGACTAAACTATAAAATACAATCACAATAATGTCAGCTGTAACAACTCTTGCTTTCCTGTAAACAATGTCATTCTCTAACAACTTTAATAGATGGAAAGAAATTAATTCCCTGATGCTTTATACTACCTGCTAGCACATGCAAGCCTGGAACATTATATGGCGAGAATGCAATCCGCTGTCTATCACACCGAAATACACTTCTAACCTACGATCACTTGCCATCATTCTTCATACTATAACACATACTCTACAGACCACTGTGCACATTTTACACTGTCACTGAACAGGATTGCCAGCATTACACAAATGACAACAAGTCATTCACTTAGCATACCACCTTGTTATAAGTAACAATTCTTCACCAAACAAAATATGTACATAAAAGGGAAAACTGTCGAATCCACTGTGGGTGAATGGAAATCTTAACATTCATGAAAACACTACAGACCTCACTACACATCACTGTATATATTACACACAAAAATATAACGTCACACTGCAGAATTTATACTTCACATTATACTCCACATTATTGTGACCAAACAACACACATTATACCCACCACTCAGCACACACAACCAAGTTATAAATTCAAAAAATAACTTCTTCAATGGGAACTATAAATTCACTTTGCACCCTCTTCTTACAATGCAAAAAAGCATATCATTCTTACTACTTACCTACACACACATGTAATATTCACAACCTACATACCAAAACCACACACATTAAATCTAAATCACTCTCAATGCATATAACCACTAAAACACATTTTGTGCAAATCACTGTACATACTTCACATGACATTATTAATAACAGTGCAAGAATAACCTCAGAGACACATTCTTTTTCACTACACACCCACTTGTCTTCTATGCACTTACTTCCGTTAACTCAATAAATGTACGTTATGGTGTATTTTTCCTTCACACGTACTTCAGTTTCATGGTTCAGAGGGAACACACTTCGATTTCTTTGTCCAACAGAGGAAACACACGTTTCTACAATTTCTTCCACTCGCCATTATGCGTTCCAGGATGATACACACATTAAAGCCTACCATTAGCACTATCACACTGAATCCTTTAAAATATAATTTCAGGTAGATAATTAATCACAACTTCTACATATATGTATATAAACATACACACATAAAACCGTCTTATTATTTATAAACACCTCTTCGTACCAGGAAAGAAACGTACCTTGATTCTGTAGACCGGATATTTAGGTAACAGTGACAGGGCAGCCAACCTCTTAACATGACTGAAACAGAAACATTCCAATATCAGTCCGATCACAGGACGGGAATTTTTCACCCTATTTTTACCCATCTTCGTGCATAGTATTCTACTTCCTATCCAGGAAGGGAAATTCAGGCGAAACAAATGACGAGCAGTCACTGAATTGGTCGCGTATCCATCCGCGAGAAACAAGAGAACGATTTCACTGAAAATAAAGATCTTTCGTCATAAGGTTATGCCATTGGAGGGCAGCATAATGCCATAATTTGTGATATTCAGTAATCATTTGTTCCGCCGTGGGGGATGCGCAAACTCCTGAGGTGGGGCGGCGTTTTCGACACAATCTAAACTATCACGAAGCAATATATTCTCGGAATATAAGAGCATAGATTCACAATATGGGTGGAAAAACAGGAAACACGCTCAATTTTATACATAACGTCATATTTCGATTAATATTGCATGTTACGGCACCCCTATATTACGTTCCGTTAAATACCAGCTTCGTAAATGACGTCACTCTTAGGTGTGCGCAATGATCTACTGCGCATCCACCTCTATCTTACGGGTAACATTCGCTGATGTTGGGTTGGTTAGGTTTGGTTAGGTTAGGTTAGGTTAGGTCAGATTAGGTTTGCGCAGTAGACTACTGCGCATCCAACTGTAACACAGGGGTACCATTCGCTGATGTTAGGTTAGGTTGGGTTGGGTTACGTTAGGTTAGGTTAGGTTTGCGCAGTAGACCACTGTGCATCCGTCTGTACCTTGGAGGGGTCGAAGCTCGGTATTTACGCTAATGTTAGGTTGTGAGTGTACATTATGACAGGTGTGCGCAAATGACTACAGCGAATCGTTATGCTCAATTGAGCACTGTTTGGCCGTCGGCAATATTTTACGATTGAAGGTCTGACAGCGTATGAAATCATTACATATTTATAAGGCACATTTTATTTCCAAATTTTCTCACATGATAAACTCTAGCATATATTTTCCTGTTAAACTCTCTGCGTAATCTATAAAACCTGCAATATATTACGATATTTATTATGGTCGCAAATGCATTTTTTCCGAAATATTGACATTTCAGAACGCACTCAAGTGCATGATATCACAATTATCTTCATTTACTCTTAAAATTTTCCACAGTTCCCGAAATATTCGCTTTCCGAATGTTCCCATTATTAACATTATCATGTTTTCCGATATACGTGAAGGATATGCATATCCTTTATATGAAAGGTATCCACCCCACGATACTACTGCTCAAATATTAGATAACCAAATCACCAATTACGATCTGAACCTAAGGAAATATCATTCAACATTCAACTGAGCATTAAAACAAAAAACGAACACATCACTATATGTTTTGACTAAACTATAAAATACAATCACAATAATGTCAGCTGTAACAACTCTTGCTTTCCTGTAAACAGTGTTATTCTCTAACAACTTTAATAGATGGAAAGAAATTAATTCCCTGATGCTTTATACTACCTGCTAGCACATGCAAGCCTGGAACATTAGATGGCGAGAATGCAATCCGCTGTCTATCACACCGAAATACACTTCTAACCTACGATCACTTGCCATCATTCTTCGTACTATAACACATACTCTACACACCACCGTGCACATTTTACACTGTCACTGAACAGGATTGCCAGCATAACACAAATGACAACATGTCATTCACTTAGCATACCACCTTGTTATAAGCAACAATTCTTCACCAAACAAAATATGTACATAAAAGGGAAAACTATCGAATCCACTGTGGGTGTATGGAAATCTTAACATTCTTGAAAACACTACAGACCTCACTACACATCACTGTATATATTACACACAAAAATATAACGTCACACTGCAGAATTTATACTTCACATTATACTCCACATTATTGTGACCAAACAACACACATTATACCCACCACTCAGCACACAGAACCAAGTTATAAATTCAAAAAATAACTTCTTCAATGGGAACTACAAATTCACTTTGCACCCTCTTCTTACAATGCAAAAAAGCATATCATTCTTACTACTTACCTACACACACATGTAATATTCACAACCTACATACCAAAACCACACACATTAAATCTAAATCACTCTCAATGCATATAACCACTAAAACACATTTTGTGCAAATCACTGTACATACTTCACACGACATTATTAATAACAGTGCAAGAATAACCTCAAAGACACATTCTTTTTCACTACACACCCACTTGTCTTCTATGCACTTACTTCCGTTAACTCAGTAAATGTACGTTATAGTGTATTTTTCCTTCACACGTACTTCAGTTTCATGGTTCAGAGGGAACACACTTCGATTTCTTTGTCCAACAGAGGAAACACACATTTCTACAATTTCTTCCACTCGCCATTACGCGTTCCAGGAAGATACACACATAAAAGCCTACCATTAGCACTATCTCACTGAATCCTTTAAAATATACTTTCAGGCAGATAATTAATCACAACTTCTACATATATGTATATAAACATACACACATAAAACCGTCTTATTATTTATAAACACCTCTTCGTACCAGGAAAGAAACGTACCTTGATTCTGTAGACCGGATATTTAGGTAACAGTGACAGGGCAGCCAACCTCTTAACATGACTGAAACAGAAACATTCCAATATCAGTCCGATCACAGGACGGGGATGTTTCACCCTATTCTTACCCATCTTCGTGCATAGTATCCTACTTCCTATCCAGGAAGGGAAATTCAGGCGAAACAAATGACGAGCAGTCACTGAATTGGTCGCGTATCCAACCGCGAGAAACAAGAGAACGATTTCACTGAAAATAAAGATTTTTCGTCATAACGTTATGCCATTGGAGGGCAGCATAATACCATAATTTGTGATATTCAGTAATCATTTGTTCCGCCGTGGGGGATGCGCAAACTCCTGAGGTGGGGCGGCGTTTTCGACACAATCTAAACTATCACGAAGCAATATATTCTCGGAATATAAGAGCATAGATTCACAATATGGGTGGAAAAACAGGAAACACGCTCAATTTTATACATAACGTCATATTTCGATTAATATTGCATGTTACGGCACCCCTATATTACGTTCCGTTAAATACCAGCTTCGTAAATGACGTCACTCTTAGGTGTGCGCAATGATCTACTGCGCATCCACCTCTATCTTACGGGTAACATTCGCTGATGTTGGGTTGGTTAGGTTAGGTTAGGTTAGGTTAGGTTAGGTCAGATTAGGTTTGCGCAGTAGACTACTGCGCATCCAACTGTAACACAGGGGTACCATTCGCTGATGTTAGGTTAAGTTGGGTTAGGTTACGTTAGGTTAGGTTAGGTTTGTGCAGTACACCACTGTTCATCCGTCTGTACCTTGGAGGGTGCGAAGCTCGGTATTTACGCTAATGTTAGGTTCTGAGTGTACATTATGACAGGTGTGCGCAAATGACTATAGCGAATCGTTATGCTCAGTTGAGCACTGTTTGGCCGTCGGCAATATCTTACGACTGAAAGTCTCTGACAGCGTATGAAATCATTATATATTTATAAGGGACATTTTATTTCCGAATTTTCTCACATGATAAACTCTAGCATACATTTTTCTGTTAAACTCTCTGCGTAATCTATGAAACCTGCAATACATTACGATATTTATTATGGTCGTAAATGAATTTTTTCCGAAATATTGACATTTCAGAACACACTCAAGTGCATGATATCACAATTATCTTCATTGACTCTTAAAATTTTCAACAGTTCCCGAAATATTCGCTTTCCGAATGTTCCAATTATTAACATTATTATGTTTTCCGACGTACGTGAAGGATATGCATATCCTTTATATGAAAGGTATCCACCCCACGATACTACTGCTCAAATATTAGATAACCAAATCACCAATTACGATCGGAACCTAAGAAAATGTCATTCAACATTCTTCTGAGTATGAATATGTTATCTTTGCCATCCGTACTTTCGGTGTAGCTCGACTGATTCTCTGGGACGTAATCCCATGCTACATCGTTGTATATCACAAAATCTTATTATATCGGTGTGTATGAAAATGCTTAGGTAATTTTTTTATTTCTTTCATTCACGCTAATAATATCATGAAAAGTTAAACAGTTCCGTCTAGTGTGACTGGTGAAAATTTTTCTTATTTCAATTATTTATGCCCTCACATGTTTCGGTTTTCAGAGATCATCATCAGACGGACACCTTTACATCAGTACCGTTAGAAGCCGCTATTACAATACATGTTCTAAAAGTTAAAATGTATACATACAATATTAATAATATACACATGGGTATAAATCCAAAGTCTTTACAAGTCTTTACCCAAGTGTATATTATTAATATTGTATGTATACATTTTAACTTTTAGAACATATATATTAATAGTAGCCTTCAACTTTACTGATGTAAATGTGTCCCTCTGATTTCGGTCTCTGAAGACCGAAACTTGTAAGGGCATAAATAATTGAAATAAGAAAAATCTTCACCAATCACACTAGATGGAACTGTTTAACTTTTCACGCTTAGGTAATTTTCCGCCTCTCCAGCTAGAACGAATTCGCCACAACGATGTAGGCTCCACTTCACTCTATTTTGAGAACTGCTTACAGGGGATGCACGCGAAGCAGATAACTACAGAGGACATACACTAGAGTGCCAACTGATCGTTGGTGTTAGAGAAGATGAAGGCAGAAAGTAAACTGCCACCTGGAAAAGGTCGATACTGTTTCCGGATACACTGCCAGATTTACCATTTTGTCTCGCCGCAATATCCAAACAAGGCAAACAAGGCAGTATATATAGAAATTTATATTATGGCATATACCGTCGTTGTTAAGCAACAACCGCGAAACAAACAACGAGACAACGGCCGTTGCTAGGTAGCGACCCACGCGCAATAATGGAAGAACTGATGGAAGCAGTGTTTTCTTTGTGGTCTGCTCCGAGGCTATATCACTCGACCGACCAAGTTCAGTTCAGTTAGTGCAGTGGAATGGGTCGGCTGGTGAATGACTGAGTGAATTAGAGGACTGCTGCAATTCAGTCCGTGTGAGCTGTTGCTGTTTGAAGCTGGCAGCTGAGGCAAGGGGATATTTCGGGAACTCAAAATTAGGGGACTAACTCATACCAGACAAGGACTGATGAAGACACGGAAGAGTAAGAAGACTTGGTACCTGCTGTAGAGAACTGCTGAATGTGTGAATTAACGGCAGCGCTATAGTTACTTGTAGTTAATATATGTGAGCAATAAATCCAATTACCAATCCAAACACCGTCTATAGTCACTCAGACACGTGACAATACGAGTATATTCAATTCTGCTGAAGCAGTTACAAACCGGTTGAAAACTAATCAAATCAAGACCAAATGGCTGAAGTATTGCAATGATTGGACGAGATGCTGCCATAAATTAACTCAATGCCAAGTCTTATAAACCAGAGCATACTGAAATGAAATACATTTATAAATAAATAAGCTGCGTTTATGTATAATTATTAACAATTAAGATCTGCTAGAACGGCACAACTTATGCCGGCTAGAGCTAATTGTGTGTGTTACCTTAAATTATATTATATACAACAATTGTAAGTGACTAAAATTTACTTAGCTCCTCATTACGTCATATCTCCATTCTCCTCTTTCTTCTTGTCTCTTGGGTAAATATATTCCCAGCACACTATTCACAAAAATCCTCAATAACTGTTCTGCCTTTAAGTTAGGGGACCTTAAGTTTTAAACTTAAAATATATATAATATATGCATCTATGCACTGATGAAAAAGCCTCATCAAAAGTCACAAAAACAGATTTGCCATATTTAGAAAAAATTACATGAAATTATATTGGTTCTGATTAACAGAAGAAGGGTGCACTAATGTGAACATTGTGTTGTATTTTCATACATTCTTTCTACACAGTATACAAAATGAACTCATAATTTGGAAGTCAGCACATCTCTACAACTACTGACAGCATTTCAGAATTGGGGGGGGGCGTGAATTTAATTTTTGTTCGCATCTGTCTAGTTCAAGTTCTGGTTTACTTGCAGGTGAATTTAAAATTTAGCCTAAAGTTTCTATTGTTTCCGATGTGAAAACATGTAACCTATCAGGAAAAAAATAAGTGTACGTGTATAATGCTATTGAGCGTCATCCTCTGAAGCTTTGTAACAACAGCCTGCTGCTAATTGTAAAATTACTATATTAGGAATTGTTTAACTGTCTCAACTAAATCAAGCTTTGAAGCTTTG